GCTAGATCTTCGGTTTATCCCAAGCCTTCTCCTGAAGTGTCGACCCTTCATGCTATTCCACAACCTCGAGCATTTACGGCCTGGTTCCTTTTAGTTAACTACTTATGTGATGCTGGGATCATTCCAAAATCTCACTCACGTTCCCACAAGTGCATTTGCAGAGGGCTCTCTCTAGCTTTGAATTTGTAGAAACTCTGCTAGGGTCCCCTCCATATAAAAATCAGTATTTAAATCCGGCACAGATACACCATCGTCCGCCCCTGATAGCAGGAATCTAGAGCATGAATGATGAGAAACAAAGCCCAATTCTGGCAGCAGCTCGTCTGGAAACTAAATTGTTGGCGTTTCCAAAGGGGTACGCCAGCGCGTCTCTTACTAAAGACCCTTTTCTGGCTCAATAGTTTGAGAATCGAGTTTTGAAGTGACGGCGTAGTTATAACCAGAGATGCGAATACAACTCCGAAGAAGAGGGGAAATGTGAAATTGTTGTTTGAAAAATGGTATCTTTGTCTGTCTCTGCACTGGACATTAGACACGACTATTCAACCCAATCAGTTGTCGATCATATATGAACTTGAAGCATATGAGCATAGTAAGTGTGGAATCTTAAATGGCTCTGCTTGAAAAAAAAAAAGAGCCGTTGAATGATTCGGGAATCGTTGTTGGTGCGGGCCCCTGGCTATGCTTTGTAGATCCTCATCATATGTTGGCACACAATGTAGTTTATTGCTACGGGTTTTTTGGGGATAAGCTTTGGGTGATTGATGCTACAGGAGGGGACGGATTATTACGAGCCCTAAATTAGGGTTAGGGATCAACCTGATGTCATGCAGACAAGCTGTGGAGTCATGTCTATGTTAACCCCTCCGAGCATTTAAGGAAGGTTTAAGGACTGATATGTCATAATATAAATCTCAGTTAAATAACCAGAGATCTAATAAGGTGCTTAGCGGAAAGAGAACTCAACAGTTAAGGTTAAGGGAAGAAAAGATGATGAGTAGATTCTGAAGTCAATATACTCTATATACTTAGGCAGAATCAGAACAGCCATAGTAAAAAATGGAAGAGGCATCATCGAGACTGATTTTATTGGAAGACTAAATGATCAAATACGCTACTCAGATGGTTGATAGAGAGCCAAGCTGTACGCTCATTAGGATGTCGTCGTTCTTTTTCTTTTTCAACATTTGATCGTGGAGAAATTCCACGAGCAATATCAGCTGCGCTCATAGATTATTAACCATGTAATTTCAAATAAGAACCATCAGGAATTGAAGTTTTTATTAATTCCCATGCTAAGACAGCTCAGTCATACGCTGCATATCCAGTTTGTCTTGCCTAGCCAATCCATCACCCTGCACCGATACCCACCATTGAATGATGAGTGACGTTTTGTGTATATCTCTGACATTCTTATTCAAGGAGGGGGATAATGTCGACGCCGTCTAGGAGAGTATCATAGCGTTAATGCGATAGATAGGGAAAACAGTGAGAGTCCGATATCGGGAAGAAGCGACCGTCTATATGGGAATACGCTATATAGCTCCCGATTCTATTTGGCGGGGGAATGATCGACCCTGCGCAGGTGGGAGAGCTAGACAGATTTGCTATCCAATCGAAACCGTGCCAATGTACTGTAATTTGTTTGTTGGGTGGCCCCCACGGCCGAAATATTTAGCCAAGGATGATTCTGCCAGCTGTCTAGAAATCTCTAGCACTCCATCCCTCTCCTTCTGCATGGGGGGCCGATGGTGCTTGGATGAACACGGAAGTGCCATTATTGTTCTCGATCTGGGAGATACTAAATTGTTTGGAAATAATGGTATTGAAGAGGTCGTGCCAGGTTCAGAAACATTCTTGCGCAATGATGGCTAGATGAAAATGCCTGCGTATGTTCCTCGATGTAACTCGGGTGTTGAAACGCTGTGGAAAGTCACGTCAGTGAAAGAAAATGTCAAAGTCGAACGGAGCGTTTGCTGAGCGTTTCCTGGGGGCATGATATTTAACAGCTGATATACACAATTATGTTTCTCTGCTTCCGATACGGTCGAAAAACTTCTCATTCTTTGCTCTCTTCCAGTCCACTTTTCTCAAAGCTACTACTGTACGAAATCGGCCTCCGAATTCCAATATTGGGCGCCAGCGGATACCAGCCAGTGCAATGGGGTCCGTCCTTCCATATCGCTTTTAAACATCATGACCCCGGGTAGAATAAATTAGAGACACATTGTCAGGCCGAAGGATATGGACGGGAACGACGACGGATAGGCGAATTAATTATTGGAATGTTTGAAATGTTGAAATGTGTGGGGAAGAGAAGATCCTAGCAGTAGGAAATTGACGTTGAAGATGAAGGTTACATGTGTTTGCATTCCCCTGCATTTTAATAAGAGTCGAGGATGAAAAAAAAACGGCTTGCCAGCCAGCCCACCACACGATGGATAATATAATACCCCATGATGCGCAACCGGGGGCCCAGAAATAATGACGGTGAAAATCTCTCTAGGAACGCGGAAAATGAAAATAAATTCTCCATCAACGCGGGAGGCTTGTGGGCAGCCAGCGCAGTGTATGTATTTCTCATCTTAAGTAGTCCATAGCACACCTGTTTGATTCGCTATGAATACAAGAGCTAGCCCGTCGTTCGGGCTTCAACTTTTGACTGGAAAAAAGAAAAAAATAAATAAATAAATAAAATAAAATTCCCCTCCCGTCCGACAAGAAAGAAAACGAACAGGAGAAAGTACATGCACCTTGACACAGTTGCAAAACCTGCGTGCTACACTGCTCCACGACCTTCTTTCTCGCAACAGATGAACGAACGCCTCCGCTTATCGCACGCTATATAGGATGGGGATGAAGATGGGGCGGAGACGCTGTGACCAGGGCAGGGGGCACGCCTTGGAAAGGGGGGGGGGAGAGAGTCTTGGAAAGGGCAAAACTAGAGGCCAAGTTCGTTCATTACAAAGTGTTTGATTTCGAGATCCATTGGAGCAACTCTGAGGGAGCCAAAATCTGCTCAAAGTTGAGCAAGGTACCGAAATAGTTTTGAGCCGGAAAACATGCCTGGTGGTGTTTGGTCTTGATGATGAAAATAAATAACCTCATCAAACGCCGCGGCAGCCAACATGATATGATATGATAGAGAGTTATTAGATAGCATACGCAGTAATGTAATGCCTGTTGGGTAACTAATTTGATAAACTGACCAAAAAGAGACCCCACTAAAACCCCTGCCACATACTATACTGTGTATGTACGGAGTATAGAGAGGAAGTATGATACTTCCCTCCGTTCCCCGGGGGGTTGGTTGGTTGGGGGTACACCGAACATCTTGAAAAGATGGCGCCACAACCAACAAGCGTCAATCAAGCACACAGACAGCGCATAGTATAATTTCTCTTTCTCTTTATTTAACTATTTATTTATTTATTTATTTTCTTTTACATTTTGCGTGAGATTTGATTTAAACTCATAATAAAATTGTACTGAACCGTACCGGTGGTTAACCCGCTTTTGTCTCCCGAATTCCCGAGGCATGGAACGTAAAAAGAAAATGTTTAAAAATAAAAATAAAATTAAAAATTAAAAAAAGAAATGACCCTGCGGGAGAAACGTGGGGGGGGGTCCACAGGAACTAAGGCAGGACGATAGTTACCAAAAAAAAATTAAATATTTCGGCTTCGCTAACTTGTGTTCTTGTGCGTGCTGTGACGGTGGCAAGTTACACAACCCACACCACAACCCTCTGAAGATAACTACGGGGCCTAGGTCGGGGTTACATACCTACTACAGTCAGTACGAAGATAGATTATTATTAGAGGTCCGTTTTTCCGTTATCTAGGTACCTAGGTAGTTAGAGTTGGGTACAACTGTGGCAAGCAAGCAAGCTTGGTTGGTTGGTTGGGTGTAAATAGTAAATAATTTGACAATAATACTGAAATAAATGACCACATCCCGATTCCCGAGCACAAAGCCGAACCGAGCCGAACCGAGTGGGGAACGTCAGACTTGTGAGAGCCTGGTTAGCGGGTCGGTATATCCGTTGATAAGGATGGCAACCTCCTTTTTGTTTTAGGGTGACGCGAGGGAAAAGAATAATAAAAAGAACAATAAAACTGATGAGGAAGGCGGGTGAATAATAACGAATATTATCATCTATCTACTTTTCGTTCTTGATGTGGATGGAAATAGTGACACATGAAGAAAACATTCAGAGCTGGAAAAACATGCATATGTAACCTTACACGGAAAATAGATGGTAAAGTAGAATAAAGTAGAATAATAACATAACGTAGAAATAAAGCTGAAACCATAATACAACCGGGTAAGTAAACTACATCAATTAACAAAAACAAAATAACATAACGCAGAAAGTAAACACATCATTATCCTGCATAAAAATGGTGTAAGAAGAATGGAGTCGGAGCCCAAGTAGATGAATCAAAGGCTGTGCCATACTGCCATATACTGTAAACATGCATCAAAATATAACAAATATAAAATAAAAATAATATAATGTTAATAAAACAGGAGTGCACGAAGAGAAATATCGGTTGATAAAGACACACCAAGGACCATGTTAAAACAAGAGGGGGCCATGTCAATTTGCAACCAAAAAAAAAAAAAAAAAAAAAAAAAAAAGAAAAAAAAAAAAAAGAAAAAAGAAAAGAAATCTGTGAAAGAAACACGCAAAACGTATACCCCCCTTTCCCTTTTGCTCGGAAATTGTACCCTGGGGAAAAGAACACACCCAAAACCAAGCTAATAACACAAACAGAATATAAATAAAATGGGAAAACCATTCGCCTATACCCGTAATTAAAAGGGGGCCTCTGAGAGAGCCACCGACGCCGAAGTCCACGCATATAAAATCATATAAAATGAATGAAATAGAAAATAGAAAACAAATGCAGGGAGACGTGGCATAAACAAAGAGGAAAGAATAGAGTAGGAAGGATCAAGAGCGCCCTTCATTCCACTCCCTCACCCACTTCAGTTCACTGGCCCTGTTCACACCAGACGGTACTCAACCAACCATTCGCAAGCCCTCGTGAACCGGCTACCGAGGAAGGCCATTGGTCTTGACTAGTCCCCTCGATAAACATGAGAACATCGTCACCCCCAAGACAGCTCATCCAGCCAGGACTGCTGCTACCGGTGCCGCTACCGATATTTTTCCCGCTGCCGGCGGAATACGGGCGCGATGGAGCATCGAGTCTCGGCGGGTTGAGGTGGAACGGTAGTGCGCCTGGGAGTGGTGGCATAGGGAAACCGTGGTGCGCGGCGGCGTTGATGGATGGTAGAGATTGCGAGTAAGGGGCGGGCGCCGGTTGGCGGGATGTAATCCATGGCTGGAGGGGTTGGAGGCGGTTAGAGGGTGCGGGGAGCTGTTGGGGGTTGGTAGGTGGTGCAGTTGTGCTTGGGGTGGAGGAGGCGTAGGAGCCGGGGGATGTTAGGGATGGCGGTGGGTTATGTGATGCGGTTGACGATGGTATGCTATGCGGCGGCTGTAATGAGGGGAGGGGGTAGGATTGTGGTTGGGGAGGAGGCAGGCTGGTCCAGCGGTCATTCTCGAGCGGTCTGGGACGGTCGTGTTCTGATCCGGAGGATGGTGGTGGTTGTGGTGGTCCGTGAACTGGGCTGTTAAGGCTGTTGACAGGTACCCACGATTCTCTGCGGGCACCAGCAACCCCATCGGCATGAGAGTCCAGACCATCCGCGGATTCGCTTTTCACGGCAGTGCTGCCAACTTCACTGGCTGCACCACCTCGTTCCACCAAATTCGCCGAAGCTGTTGTGCCATCTTCATCCGGCCCGTTAATATCCGCCACCTGATCTTCTGCGTTACCAAGGTCTAGGAGGACCTTGTCCAAGAGCTTCAGCTCGTCAAATGAGCCTGCATGTCCCATTTCTCGTACGCCATAAGGGCGTCCGTTACTGGTTCGGAGGTCGTTTTCGGGGCCAGGCCCAGCACCTAGCATGTCTAGGTGTCGGGAACTTCGTTTAAAATCCCGCCTGGCTCTGGAAAAATAGCCATGAACGCGGTGAATGGTCCGGAACCACCCAGTAGCCATTTTCAGCCGTGGTCTCATCTCCCCTAGAATTTCAATGGCTCTCCGTACGTCAATTTGTCCCTGACAACCTAGACCCGGAACAACATCTGTCGAGCCCGGTTTCGAGCAAATGTAACCTTCTTGGTCCATCTGGTTAAAATGAGCAGCGTAAATACCAAGGAGCGCAGCGTTATATATAGCAAAACCGACCATAGGAGTCTCCATTAATACCCCACGTTCTTCACACATTTTGACAAGTTCCATCAGTTGGCGCGCTGCTTTGAACAAATCTCGAGCACTTTCCCGCCAGAACCCCTCAGGCACAAGATATTTATCGGATGGGAAACACGGCTCGTCGAGAGGTCCCTGCGGATCAGCGCACCTCAACGGCAAGAATGGCAGGTACGCTCTGTGCAGTACGATCACGGATAGGAAGTAGAGAATGTGGATAAGTGAGTAGGGTGCCAAATTGTTTTTGTACATAATATGAGTGTCGGTGTTGCGCTGGGTGTACTGTAAATTGCGGGAGAGACCATCCTGGAACTCGACTAGAAGTTGTCGAAGAGAGCTGAAGCGAGAATCGGGATGCCATGGAGGGTATTGATCAATCCTGTAGAGACAAAAATGAAACAAAAAAAACATCAGATCTCGTTAGAAAATTGCCGTCTAATTAGATGTGATAAGAAAGGCATTTTTGCATTTAACTAACCTTCTATTGCCAGAGCTCGACCATTTTGCGATGCTGCCCCAGATTCTGACCATCCGTATCAGTCTACTCAATACGCACTCCTCCGCACCCACTTCCCATCGATCAATACCATTTTCCGTTACTTCGTTTCGTTGACTAGTTGACGACCATTGTTTCAGATCTGACGGCCCACTGGTGCGTAATTTCGAGTCCTCCCCATAACCCGTACTATGGCGTAAGCTGGGAATCTGAAGGCCTCGCTGCTCGTAGCTTTGAGAACGGAGTTTTGGGCCATCATACAAACGTGATGTTTTGACTCTCTCACCGAAGCGAATGCATTGTCGCTAGGAAGCTGGATCTCTATGTCCTGAACCTTGATCATGCGAGGACGATATTTGCCATTGCTGAGGTATCGATCTAGCATGAGACAGCTCCAGAGAGTCCGCCGTCTAGTCTCCTGTTCGATCACGTCGTCCGAATTACGGTCCCTCTGGTCGCGTTGTTCTACCTCTGCGTTAAACAAGCCCGAAGAGGATGTTTTATGTGATGACTGCTGATCACTCTCCGGCTCGAAAGCCAAGCCCATCACCTGAGCCAGTCTGATTGACATCCCAAGATAAACCCAGGCGTTTTTACCCCTGCACATTCCCCATTCGTGTAAGCTTAGCATGAGGAGGGCCTGAACCCGACTGATGTCGGTTGACGTAAGGTCCACTCCATCAATACCCGCGAGTCTCGATCGTAGTGCGTTCGCAAAAAAATCAGAGGCTACGAGAGGGTTACATGGCGCAACGGGTGATGGGGGAGAGTGATAGTGAGTTAACTGTGGGTGGAATCGAGCAGTCAGGGTTAGAACGCCTAGTAGAATCAATGGAGAAGCCTCCGAAGCTGGAACTGGGCTCTGCGAGTGGTCACCGGATGGTTGGCCATCCTGTTGCGCTGAGTTCGCGGAAAGCTGGCGGATCTGAGCGAGAAAGGTGGACGGGTGTAAAAACGGGAGGATGGTGGAGAAATGCAACTGAAAGAGTTCGAATAGGCTCTCCCAGACTTTGACGGTCAAGATGGACGAATCTAGTACGTGAGCGGCGGTTGGTTTGATGACATCCTTTGCTCCTGCGGGTGCAGCATTCGTGGACTTCCTTGAACGCTGACGCTTGGGGCTATCCCACTCGCCATTCCGGTCATCTCCATCCCCGGTGGCAACGATGTCGCGCTTCGTGCCACCTCCACCGCCTGCCGGAGCGGGAGTCGGATAGGCGCATTCCCTCCCCGAGGATTCACATGCCCGACAAGTAGTATCGATACCCGCATTGACACATTTGATCTTGCTTCGCCTGCACCGAGAGCAAGCGATGCTAGAACGCATTTTCAATGCGGGCTGCTCTTTTCTCTTCTCCACGGTGGTGGTTGTATTCCGTGAAACCCTTGGGAGAAAAAAGGCCCCTCGATGATTTACCAAGCGTTATCTCCACTGAATCCCTGTGATGGGGAAGTGTCGGGAAAAGAGTCCTCCTTTTCTTTTCTTTACTTTTTTTCCCTTTTCCCGAGGAGTAATGTTTAATAGCGTTCGTACCCGGAAAAATAATGGGTTGGTCTGTTTGCTGTTCCTTTCGCGCCTCCGAACAGCAAGGCGAGAAAATGCAGTCGGGAGTTCAATGTAACAAAGAAACCGAATCAGACCCGCAGCGAGGCAGAAGAAAGAAAATTACAGAACAAAAAGACAAAAGAGAAAAGAAAAAAAAAAAAAATTACTTCCAGTAAACAACCGGACACTCGAGGGAAATGAGAGAAACGCGGGAAATAATAATAATAATGGAGTAGTAAAAGGTTGCGGATGTAACAACTGTTGGGGTAAAAGCCGCAATTTAAGGTGCAGCAGCACAACGGCCGGTTTCGGGGTCAGCGATGCGATGTTGCGCGCAGGCTGGTCGACCACAGGCCGCGACTGGGCACAGTACAAACGTGAACAGAGAGTTCGGCCTCTTTTTTTTCTTTTTTTTTCTTTTTTTTTCTTTTTTCTTTTTTGGCCTCCTGCAAAGTACAAGGTTCCCAGATGCGACAGGTTAAGCAGTTGAGGGAGGGAGTGCGGTGTCAAGTCGCGAAACAAAAAAAAAAAAAAAGGCTTCTTTCGCGCAAGGTTGCCAAGGCTTGACTCGGGCGGGATGACAGAAACAGGAGGGGAACAAGAAGAAGATAAGAGGACAAGAAGGGTGGAGGGTACGGTACGCAGATGATGAGATCAGAGAAAAGAGAAAGGGAGGAGAAAAGTATAAAAACAATAGAGACAAGAAGAAGAGGGAGAAGACACGAGCCAAGGGGAGGAAGAGAGAGAGATCTGGTCAACCTAGTCCAAATTGCCGGAAGCGCACATGGTTCGTTCGTGGACGTGGTTTGCGGCAAAGTCGTAGTAACTAACTACTAGCTAGTAGTAGTCAAGAAGGAAGCACAACACAGTAACTACGTACAGAACAAGTAGTACCAAGAGGTCGGCGGCCCAGACTGGGAGATTGGAGACCGGAGCGGACTGCGATTGCACCTCCAAAAGTCTAATCTGGATGTAGGCTATCTCCAGTCCGTGGCTGGCTTGGAAGCCGGGAGCAGAGAGAAAAAGGGAAGTAGTGTAGCTAGGAAGCCCGCAAAGAAAAGAGAGAGAGAGAGAGAGGAGAAAGAAATGGAAACGCAGATGGACGCCAATGCAAGGAGGATAGATAGATAGATGCAAACAGAGGCGGGCAGAGCAGACGCCTTCTTGTCCGCCGACAGCGCAAAGATAGGGAGTTACCAGAGACTAGTTGACCGAGGAGTAAGTTTACGTACGTTGACGTACGGGATTGATGGATGGGGATAGGATGTGGGATTGGTTAGTCGTAGTAGTAGTAAGAGTAGTAGTAGTAGAGGTAGTAGAAGTAGTAGTAGTAAGAGTAGTAGTAAGAGTAGTAGTAAGAGTAGTAAGTAGCAGTAGAGGTTACTGGTGCTGGCTACGTGCGTTTGCTGCTGGAAGAATGGCTCCCCTATTTTTGGTCTTTCTTCCTTTTTCTTCTGTCTCTTGAGGCGCGGGATGAAAACGAGGATCTCAAGCTCGCCTTCGGGTGCCCATCTGAAGCCGTGTCACATCCAGCCTGGGATCGGGATCAAGGGGGGCGGAGTGGGGCGGGCACGGCAGGGAGAACGAACGACCAAGAGGCGAAGACAGATCCCCAGAAGTATCAGTCTGTCAGTCTACCAGTTTATCAGAAGCAGGCTACGGAGAGTTGGGTAGAGAGAGAGAGAGAGAGAGAGAGAGAGAGAGAGAGAGAGAGATAGAGAAGAAGGAAACGGGAGATGTAGTTACAGGCAGAAGACGCAGACGACGAGATAGATTAACTCGAGAAGGGAAATAATATGATAATGAGAAAAAGAAGCCCGCGCCACCACGGTCAGGCTTGGTGTTATTGTCTAGTTATCTCTTTTTCTTTTTTTCCTTTTGATACGATTCACCCTGGTGTCTACCTATCTACAGGAAGAAGCATTAGCATTAACGGAGTATATTGTACGGAGTATTGATGCTCCTTTGCTCCATTGGTACGGATTTACGACTCCTTTCAACACGCTCTCCGATGGTCCATATTTATTTTCTCTTGTTTTCTTTCTATCAATTTTTTTTTTTTTTTTGGCATAAATTTGGATTTATTTTCTTTTTACAGCACGATTTTAAACCACTGACCACCGATTTATTAATTTGCAAAAAATGCTCCGGCCTTGCACAACCTAGCGTCTCTCTCTATCCTTTCTGCCTCTCGTTTGGTGGTTCGTGGCTTTTCCAAGGTTCTCTCTCTCTCCAAGGGCTCTCGGGGTCTTTTTTCTTTTTCTCTTCTTTTTCTCTTCTTTTTCTTTTCTTTTTCCTCTTCCGTTCCACTGGAGGTTGGTTAACGGGTTGATGATCCCTGCCGCCCGAGAGCATCCCATCCGACTTTTTTTTTTTTTTTTTTTTTTTTTTTTTTTTTTTTTTTTTTTCCCTCTTTTTTGCAAATTAACACCCAATTCCAAATTCTCAAATTCCCAAAAAAATTCGGAAAGTCGGCTTGTTATTTTTTTTCAATTTTTGCAAAACACCCTTGCCCGCAGAATACCGCGGAGACAGTCCACACAACGGCGGCGGGCGGCGGGCGGCGTCATTTGAGTATTTACCGTTCAGCTATTAGTGGTGGAGATTTGCTGCAACCTGGCAGGATTTGCAGTTGATCGCGGGCCGGCCAGGAATAATAAGGGATCGCGCTGTTGGCATTGAGTTGGTCCCGCTGCTGGGCCCGTCAGCCGAAGATCGCACCAACGACGCACGCCTGTGCTACTCACTATTAATATTATTACTGTACTGTCAAACCAACCCGGCAACCTCCGGCATTTCTTCTCCCGCGATTGTGATTGTGATGGTGATGGTGATGGTGGTGGCAGTGTGTGTGTGTGTGTGTGTGTCTTCGAGCCGGAGCCCGCGATGGTTGATATTGATAATAACTGCTGGGCCTCCGTGGTGATCAGGGGAAATGCATTCCGTCTCCCAGCTCCATCGATCAAATAGGGCTGAACGTACTCTGTATGTAAAAAAGAATTCACTTCTTAATGCATCTGTCATCCTCAGCCCTTCCATACAATCAGGCCTAAGCGTAGACAACGCTCGTTATATCCGACGACGGCAATTATTGGCTCCTTCCAGCTGCTTCGACGGGGTAACTATAGATGTGTGGAGGGGGAGGGATCAAGGATCCCTTAATAATATTATATTACATACAGTATTTCCCTTTTCTTTTAAATCTCTCGGTCTTTTTGCGGGCGTCGAAAAGTCTTGTAACTCTCTGTACCTACGGAGTACAGTCTGACAAACTTGGATCGCCGCTTAAATAATCTGCGCTTCGGAGAGGAAGACTAATAACTTGGAATTTTTGTACCTGTAACCACTACATATTCCCTGCTCCCCGGTTATTGTTATTAGAGTCTTCGGGAATGCACATAATTGCACACGGTCATTGATGAATGTGGTGTACTCCGTACAGATAGATGTATGTACTGTACGTACAGGTACACGGAACATGGACATTGGACATGATATTCGAACCATGATTCTACATTTGTACGCAGTATGTCCCTTTCATTTACTCCGTATAATGGGATACATATGACATATGACGGCCACATAATCAATATTTATTTACCCAGGTAGGTAGGCTACGCGGACACCTTCCGGCCCGTGTTAAAGAAATAGAAAAAAAGAAATTCCATATGAACAGCTAGTTAACTATCCTATGAGAGATCTAATATTGGTTGGTTAGCCAGACATCACTTTTGAGAAAATAATCATAATAGTATGTAATACTGACAAAGAAAGACAGACAACAAGAGAGAGAACAAAAAAGAGAACAAGGCGCATCCTTGTACCGATTACAGCACAGAATTGTTCTTTTTCCTTCGGGTTTTGGTCTTGGGTGTTGTTTAGCTTTTCGTTTCTTTTCGTTTCGTTTCTTTTTTTTTCTCGGTTGATAATTTGACAGGCCCTTGAGGAGCCGGTAACTACGGCACGGCACAGTAGAGACTGACAGAGAGAAAAAGAAAAGAAAGAAAAAAGAAAGAAAGAGAGGGACCACTTGTTCGACGGTCTCAATATTTAGCTTTTCGTTTCGGCTTTTCTTTTGTCTCTTCCCGGTTGGCTTTTTTCCCACGTCCCGTTCCCTCCCCCCCTGGATGCTGCTGTCCACTCGGAGGACATGGGAGGGAGTGTGGCTGAGAAATCATCGGACAGGAGAAGCTTTCTTTTTTTTTTTTTTTTCTTTCACTTTAGTTAACTATCTTTTCTTTTCTTTTTCTCTCTTTTTTCTTCACCCGTTTGACGGCTATTCTTGACCTCTCACCACCACCACCACCCAATTCCCCAATGCTGGACAACGTCCAGTCATTCAACAGATATGACAAATATTCCGTATACAGGACAGGACAGGACACAATGCATGGGAAACGACGGGATGGAAAAAAGGCGATATATCTAATCTATCTAGATGAACGCCCTGGGCCGGGTTCATGCCCGCATGCCCCTTTGAGACGCCCCAAAAATCAGCAACCGTTATTTCCCACCTCTCACCTCAGCGCTGGCAAGGTCTGTAGGTCAAGAGACTGAGAAACTCGACAGGATTTTCCCATTTTCTATTTTCCATTATTTTTAGAACGCAGATTTTTGGCAAACAATTCAACGAGGTTCGAATAATAACAAGTTTACTAACTAACTCTCCATCCATTCCCCCGTTTGCCGTTTCCTTGGGTAGCATAGCATTGTTTGTCTTACATTCTACGCATGTCTGTTTCAAAATTATCTTCGGGTACCAAAGGAGCGTACCAAGGGAGCGTCAGAAGACTATCCGTATATTATTATAATAAATATATATATATATATATATGTAAACAGAAGTGATCCGTAGGGAGCTTTCAAATAATGGCCTGACGGAGTTTTCATATATTGTATCCATGTGTGCGTAAAAATAACTAGTATTAGAGGCAACTTCTTTTCTTTGTTCAAAACCCTGCAAGAGCACCAGCGCAAACAAAACTAGCCAGTTCTGTTCACTTTTATTCTGTTTTCATTCATCCGCGTTTGAAAAATGGGGTTTTCGAGACGATAGAATGCAATAGAATGAATGGGATTATTATTTTATTTTTTAAAGAAAAATTAACCTGTGGAAGGATTTCCCTCGCCAACCCCGAACAAAAACCCATCCCACCCTCCCTCCCAAAAAGCCCCTGAGCCAGTTAACCGTTTTTTTTTTTTTGTCTCTGTCCTACCCCCGGGGAGAGAATCAGTTTCCGATCGGCAGCCTCAACATCCCTGAACATAGGAAAGGGCTGACAACCGTTGGCCGCTGCTTGAAGCCACAAACCAGTCAAGTCACCACATCATCATCGCGCCCGGAATTAACCCCGGGACAACAAATCTTCGGCATGCATGGGTAATAACGATAATAATAAAAAAAAAATTATCCTGAGATGCTATTCCAGCCTGCTGACGAGAAGACTTCTATTTATTGGTTGGCGATTCCGATTTTTAGCAATACAGTACTGTGCACAGCGGCGTTCTCCACCTTGTCCAAGTAAATGCCGCTTTTTTTTTTTCCCACTTTTTCCCTCCCCAATGAACTGACTGACTGTGCCGATGTGCTCCCCGATCCCGGACCGAATTCGGGAACTCAGGTAGTGATTGGCTTTCCGAGAATTGTTGATTTCTCGCGCCAAAACAACATCAACTTCCAATGTTTAACTCTCGGGATCCAATAATCATATCGATTTGAACCCACTGACTCCCTCTAGCCTAAGAAAAACGGTGGCTTTCTCGGATGAGGATTCCCGCTTCTCGGCTTTCGAAGGCGGGCCAAGGTTGTATCACGTGACATCAATCACAAACCTCCGAGTAAGGATCTAGATCTTCAAAACAAAGCGCGTTAACGATAACGCCGAGCTTCAGGTCCAGGCATGACTCACTTGGCAATGATGACTGCTATTATTCCCAAACTAGAAGATACTAGCATGAAAAACTTCCGCTTAACCAGATTTCGACAGGATTAACTAATGATATAGAGAGAATTGCTTTTAGCTTCATCTCACCCCACAAAGCTAGAAACGCCCTCAATACGCGAATCTTCCGGCTTCACATATCCTGGAATTCATATTCTAGATCCCCGATTGGATTTCCGAGTGTCTCTAGTATCTCTAGTGCCACATCCCCTTCCCATATGATTTTGCTCTGCGGAGAAAAAGCTGACAAGGTTTCCTGGCTAAGGCAAAATCCAATATCCCCCCTTCCGCGTTGCCTCGGTTTGGGGGGAAACGGCAACACATAGATGGAGGGCTGCCGTTATGTATATGTATATGTACGTGTACTATAAGCCGTATACGATAACAACTCAGCAGCACCGATCAGCTCCGGAAAACAATGTGGGAGGACAAGGGAATTTACCTCTTGTCACACCACACTGTTATCGCCACAAGAATAACTAGAGACTAACCCCCCCCTCCCCCGGCCCCGGTCCCCCGCTTTTTATTCTTCTATCATGAGCCCTCCGAGCTGGCATTTTAGTCTTCCATCGGCTGCCCAGAACTGGAGCTGGGTAGCTTCGGTACCGAACTACGTGACCAAAATGTGGCAGGCGAACCTCGGAAACACAAACGAAAAGATGCCGGAGGGTGAAAAGTACATGTAACTAGAGGAGAGGAGAGGAGAGATAAGATATCCCCCCTATCCTCGTCTGCGACATGTTGAGCCTGGAAGTCCGTCAGCGTTGTATGGTGGAACCGCGAATGTTAAAAACATACTAGATCCCGAAGTAGAGAAATCAAACGAAACACTCATGTTTTGTTCTTTTCCCTCCGTTGTTGCCATTAGAAGAGAACTTTCCGAGTACCAAGACCTGCGTGAATCAGGAGCGCAAAATCTATAACAGCCTGCCTCTTTTCGGATGGCTGACTACCCGTCATCCCTGGGGAGGCCGGGGCGATTGAAAAATCTACGATTGTTTTTTTTTTTTTTTTTTTTTTTTTTTTTTTTTTTTTTTTTTTTTTTTTTTTTTTTGCCTTCATGCGGAATTAACTAACTACACGTCAGCTGAAACTGAAGATCCTGGAATAATCAGGTACGGAGATAATAATAATAATAAAAAAAATAGTAATAATAATAACAAAAATAATAATAATAACAACAAAAATAATAAAAATAATAATGCATAGTTAGAAGTTGGAACAGCGACACTGCATGCAAGGTTTCAACTTTGTATTCTGTTCAGAGTTTTTGTTGGTTTAAGTTAGTACTCTGAGTGAGAGAGAGACAGACGTGTTCGTCTGAGAACATGCAGGTGAAACTTATGCATGTGATTTAAAAATAGATATCCGATTTTTTTTTTTTAGGAATGGATAGTTAATCGTCGTTGTAATGGCTAGCTTGCACCTTGGCGCGTCCTTTATTTCTTAATTGATGGCGTTTGTTATGTACTCTGTATGGGCTCACATGTTATCTGGATCGCAATGTATGTGTGCCGTGGACAGGACGCAATGTTGACATAACTGGTGAAAATAGAGGTTAGGGATCTGTCTGAATCAGCGAGGTTGTACGAATTAGACGCAAGGGGATCAATCAGTGATATCGAGGAGATGTTTTATCACCTTGATAATTCTCCATTTATCATTTTTACCAACAAAGCAGCAAGAAGTGGATTATTACTTGTCAAGACTGCGCTTCTATTGCTATTTATAGACGACTATTTACCGTCCCATCTGCATATGCACTGCACCGCAGCACAACGGTCTGAATACAAGAATAGATTTCTCAAGGTACATACAGCTATAGTCTCAATATTCTCTGAAAGGTAGTGATATCCATCCCTCCCATATTCCCTCTCCCACATTCAACAGGTTTACCTAAAAATATCTGCCGGTCTGGCCGTACCATTGACTCCGTGGATTCGGAGAAATTTGATCCGACTTCTTTGAAATGGGTAGGAATACTAGAAGCACATGAAGAGGATCCAACTCTGAATGAACAATAGAGCATTTGATTTAATTCAGTAGTGTACGTGCAGGTGCACCATTTAGCTCCGGCCAATGGCGTCGTTGCTGCTGAGAAGTTAGAACTGGCATCGTAACCGTCCACCCCGCAATCGAGCTGGGTCATTATTGTCAAGCTGTGGGACAAACCGGGGCAAAATATCGCCACAAAAGTATCCACCCTGTTCGAAGCCCGTTCCCGGTTGTCATATCTTTTTTCTGGCGTGGAATCAATCCTCCTCTGTCGTTTCGATATCACATTTTTGTTCTACAGGCAACCTCGGAAGGATAGAGCGGGTAAATGTAGCCATGTGTGTGTAATGTGTCCAACCCCTCTCTCAACCGGCCTTGGCTCCTAGCTTGGCTGGAATTATTCAGTATCTGTCCATTTCGGCCCCGCCAAAGCTCGGTGTCAGGATATCGCCTCGCCAGCGCGGCATTCAAACTTATTCTGGCCGTCGGGCCACGGTCTGAGTTTTGATATGCACATTGCGAGGCCCGGTAGAAATCCGGCGAAGTTCTCCGTTTAGCTGCTCCAGGGTATGCGAACAATGGATCGCCGGGCTAAAGATAGCCTGCCCTTCTAGAGCAGAAGCCCATCTCTTACAGGGTGATACCCATGCTGTTAGAAGAGAGTTTTTTGCGGTTAATAGCCACACCCCCGCGCGCGAGGGGGCGCTGACGAACACCCACAAAAGCTCACGAAGCGCGATAGGTATTTGAAATATAATAATCAATTCGGTGACGCTCAAGTTGCAGTTCATTGGATGAGTGTTAGTTTTCTGACGCCAAGGTATTCGTGACATTGTTCGGGGACTTGTCATCCTCTTCCCTTTCGACGTTGAAAGAAACAACCACCTAGCCCAGTTTGTCACTATGATGAGCATTAGTTTCCTTCGACAGGCTACCGGAAACCTGACAGCTGCCCCATATCAAGATGAGCGACAACCTGCATCACCAGATATATTACTTGCAATTAGAGTTGTCCTCAGGGTTAAGGATGTCATGACAACCCCGGTCCATGCACTAAGTCTCATGATGAAAGCTGGGGTAACGATTGGGTTGTTAGAGCAAGGGATATAGCAAAGGAACACAAGAAGCACATCCAACACGGGCATTCAAGTGACCAATCCATCCGACCTCCCTTGTACCGAAGCGATTGTTGAGATGAGAAGGGGACTGAGTGGCAACTTCTAACCAGGGTTGCAGCGAGGATGCTCGTCGACGATGGACCGAGGAAAACATCCCAAATCAAGAATATGGACCTACCATCGCGCACTGCACTGCACCTGCCTCTGGAGTAACATGGTTCGCCCGTCTCATCCCATGAAAACTCCTGGTTTTTCTTTCTGATATGGTGTTCGGGGAGAATACGCTAGCGACGGGCAACAATGCTCCTTTTCTCAGATCGGAACGCGGAATTCGGAAGATTCGGCCTGCTAGTGGGCAAATATTTCCTGCGATAGAGAGAGGGAGGGGTAGCGACTTAAATCAACCAGGACTTCTTGATACTGAACGCCCTGTCGTTAACATACCCGCATCTTAACTGGCTGAGTAAACATGTTCCAAACCTCTCCTTCTAGCTAGCCCATGAATCCTGATATGATATACGTGGTTGTGATTTTCCGATACTGCACCCGAACATCTTGTCTTGAGGAGTGCCGCAATATCGCTGCACTGATGAAGCCGCCTGGAGCTGGGCATATTCGACAAGTGGGTAAGGTGTTTTCGACATTGAGTGGCTATCGGGACGGCGTGGGAATATATCCCTGCTGGATTGAGGGTGAGTCCAACAGTCAACCACTGACGCCCAGTCTGATTCCCTTTCCATTATCATGCGCATCTAGAAAGATTAAGCATGGGTTTGTTTGGGAGATGTTCTAGGAGAATGAAACATTAAACCTTGGAATACAACCTATTGCTTCACCACGAGTTAGTAAACTAATGAATGAGCGGCCCAAGGCATGATGATATGATGGCTCTGACAAGGTCAGTTGAGCGACTCCCTTCTAACATGGCAACGTCAGGGAGTCTTAACATGTCTCTCTTCGGCTTCCATTTTCTTAGGTTCTCGAGACCCTGGCTCTTAAATTGTCGGAACTTGGTCTAATCTTGATACACGGCAAGTGGAAGCCAAGTTATTAATATCCGTAGATTGCGCCTCGGAGAATTTCACCCTCCCGACTTAGGCCGTTCCGCATATCCTGGACCTGGTTCATTCCTATAATCTCCAACAGTGCGTCTGCTCTGATAAACAAGGTCGCTCTCGGTCAATGGGCCATTTTCTTATTTAACGGCCGGGAACTCAGAAGCACGCAATCCACTTTGTCTTCAGGTTGCAGTACGGGTGGTTCCTTTTCGGCCCCAGCGTATCATTTAATGATACCACCTTTCAAGCTCGAATTTAATGGTGCCCATTGAAAACCCCCCGCCTCAAGCCGTTTCCCCGGATTTATTCCATCGTTCGTAAAATTTGTCGCTTACCCTGGTAAAATGTAAAGGCCCGAGAAGGTTTAAGAACCATGCGGTATCCGCAGAACCCGCAAGGGAGAAAATCAGCTTGCCTCGGAACGGCAGGAGGGCGTTCGGGAGGAGGAGAGGTTACTGAGTGGCGTTCGCGTTAGGGCAATCATTTGCAGACCTTGCCATTATTTGTTAACGAAGTGGCTGCTGGTATGTTCTTGGCCATGACTGCTCCGCTGTAACAGTGTCGTCCGCTCGCAACATGGAGGGGGAGCTTGTAGAATATAATCGGGTGGTTTGAAAAAAAAAAAAAACAAACACACCGAACTTTGAAAAATACCTTCCATTTACTACTTACTATTCCCCGGTTTCCAATCTGTTCTCATTTATGCTGTGTGGATGTATTGGTATGTTTGAATGTGGACTCAATGATAAATAAGGATGAGCTGGCAGAGGCGTGGCCACTGCAATTCACAGCCCCTTTGAAAAGTAATCAGTCATATCCTGGTGAAGCATTCATGCATTAAGCTGATATCCCTATTGTTTTACTCATACTTCCAGAATACCATACTTCCAGAATACAGCCAGGAATCCCAGCAAACCGCCCTCTCTGCAGAGTATCGGCGAAATTCAATTGCTGCCGTAACATTTCTCTGTACAGTGGGTTTAGATTGAATGCAGGATAGGAAATGCCTCAACAACGGGGATTACTAGCTGTCACCATCATTCACAATGAGAGCAGTCAAAATCGAGAGCAGAATCGTGTTGATACTATTCTACTATACATAAAAAAATCACAATTCTATGAGTCTGATCATAGATAGCGCAATGATACTAAACTGATCTCATAAATGCTCGGATTTCTCAGAGTCATACTGTACTTGCCTGTTGGAGAACCATTGATTCAGGCAACTAAGCTACTGACCGAATGCTGACCTGAATGTATAGAGTCTTATATGAGAGAAAATGAATGTGATGGACAAATTATCCTCAAATAGTTGGAGGCTGTGACTTGATCTGAAATGTGTCACTAAGCTTCACCGAGAAGCTAACAGTCATTTTGAAGAAATCTCTGAATCAATATTTTAGGCCTAGCTTCTGTGATGTTGTTGAAGAACTCCCCGCCCCATAGAGCATATATATCAACTGTTTTGCCTGAAACTAGTGAATGATCTCCATCGAAGAACTTAGATATATGATGCGTATACTCTCATCTCAGCCTTCACTTCCTCTCCTCAGTCACCGATGAAGTATCACCAGGACCAGGAGCAGGTTCAACTAGAAACCCCCCAAAATATGAGGCTGCAATTGTGTCACTCAGGGGTGCCCAAACTGCGATCAATGGCGATGGAACATGTTGTTGAAACCGATAAACCCAGGCCCAGCAAGTAGAAGAGCTGCAGGGTAGATCTTCAAGTAAGTTGTCAGCGTTAATTAATCCAGCAGACATGGGTACAAATGAATGAAGATATGGATGGATGCTAATAAGAACAGCACGCAGTTTTATCCAGTAAGAGAATGTACGATGTCTAACAACTTATTCAATTAGAGGTATGTATGTGGTGGCGAGGAATGGAACAATGCTGATGACGGTATAGAAGTACAGATTTTGATATATAGTAGAGAAGACTGTTATTGACAGACCTGCTCCAGCTCGCAGGTCTGTTTGGGCACTATACATACTCTGATGTTATAAAGGGGCTATCTATTCCTCTCATATGATCAAGAAAAGTGTATTCTTGTGTACTTCATGCTGGTTTCCTTTCGAACCTCCCACTTTTTCTCTGTTCCGAAGATGAACATAGCAGCGCAGGACACAAACATGGCACTGGGACTGTGGTAGAAAAACCGCTTCTATTTCCATTTCCAACAAGGGCACGAAATTTGGGCTCCTTGATTCCGTATATCTCCGCGCACTTGAAGATAAGGAATGGAAATAGAAGATCTGAGACTAGTAGACACTCGAATCGCCTTGCTGGACAGATATAGAGAGAAATTCCCTGTGGCGCACAACCAGACATAAACTCTGTACGAATTAGAGGGGTGTTATCATTTCAAATGAGATAGCAACTATTGAGGGATGTAAGATAACGCAAAGCGCTGTCTGGGCAACATATACCGGTACCAACGATTTGAATGCCGTTCTTACTTGGCGAGGAGAAATGGAGATAAAAACACCTGGCGGCAAATCCAACCATAGACGACAGAGAGGGAGAGGGAAGAAAATATATAAAGAAAGAGCCGGGAGTACAATAATATTTCGGATATCCATTATGAAAAGTATCCTGGCGTCAAAGATAATACATGCTTTCCAGACTGATTGTGCTTGTTAAAAATCTGAAATTAGAGAATGCGCGCTCACCCGCAGACACATATGTAGGATTGCTCCTGATCAAGCTTCCATATGTTGCCAACAGAACAATTCTTCATGATGTCTTGCACTTTCCACCCGGAGGTTAAAGAAACGGGTATAAAGATGGACTTCCTCTGTCCGAGATTTATCCTCCTCTTTTACCTCCGCTCTTCATAGTATCCGACATGCTCCTTTTCTGTCTCCATCATGGAAGCCGGTTGGGTCTTGTCGGTTGAGTTAATGTATATATGTAATGTACATACATACATGTACCAACCGTGATTTTAAAGGATCTCCACTCGGAACTACCTCCATCAGGGAAAGCACGGTCCGCCTATGTCCAAAGGTAGGAAATCGCATAATGCAACTTCTCACATGAGAAGTTGACTTGATGCTGATGTCTGCTATACTTATATGTAAAAATTGAAACAAGGGACATTGGGAAGGTCAACATAAGTAGGGCATAGTAGGAAAAAGCAAAGGGAGAGCCAGATATTGAACCCAAGGCTGTCCCAACTCAACACGCCCCGAACATTTCATACAAAGAGTAGGAAAGTTTGAAGCGGAAGGATGGGATTACCTTTTTTATCTTTTTAATATCTCTGTTTGGTCCAAGTCTTTCATCATTCTCACAGGTACGTTCACTCCTTTGCGTACTCAAATATTTCCCCCCCAGTGGATGATGAAAATGTTACGACTTCGAGAACCTAAGTTCAAGATAAAACCCAAAAAACAATCTAACACCATTGCGTTAGCATCTTGCGGGTTTAGTATTTCTTAGGTAGGCTGGAGATTTGCTGTGGGTTCATGGGAAAGGGCCTACAGAAAGGCTGATCTCTCTGTAGTTTAACAGGTTCGTGCACAAACAATGTTTGCGATATGTGCTTGGGAAATAGAAAGGAGGGTATGGTAGCCGGTGGGTGAGTTGAGAAGGAGTATTGCAAAGAAAGAAAAGGGGAGGGGAACTACTTACAATGTTACGACTTTGAGGTGGAAAAAGTAGCTGGGCGACGGGCGGATGAAGGTGATTTTATACATGATGTACGTTGTATGACGAGTGCGGAGGAATTAGGCACCTTTTACCCTTTGTGCTTCAGCAATACCTGGTTAGTTGCGGAGTATGCAAAAAAGTGGAATTGTAGCTCAAGGAAAAGAATCTTAATCTTGATTGAAGCTGTTAAGTCAGACAAAAAAAAAAAAAAAAAAAAAAAAAAAAAAAAAAAAAAAAAAATTAAGAAGAACTAGAGGCCCTGGCCATTGCGGCAAAGGTGATGCGGAGTTCTTCACCTCTTGTAAACTGATTTCCAAATCACTCTTCGTAGTTTGCGTTTATAATACAACTATGCATTGTATCTCTCTGCTTTCTCTTCTTAATGTGGCGGAACTTCATATTTTGGGAGTTAACTCACATTAGGAACATCTTCCAGTAGCGGGCATCCTATTTCAGGACATCATCGACAGGATCTTGAGGTATGAAGCTATCCTCTTTGATTGCTTCGATATCTGGGAAATTCTGCCATACCTGTTCCAGGATATATTCAAGCGCCTCTTTGGGCAGGAAGCGTAGTTTTTCGGATATAGTGATCAATATAACCATGCTGATGGTAGAGTAGCTGCACACCACACCAGCGCTTGAAATCTGCGTATGGCTGCGAAGACACGACTTCAGATACTGCAACTAGCCTTGGCTTCTTGTCATGTGCTATCTGCGTAACAGTGATGCTGGGGTTTCATTCACTAAATTCATCTCCTTGTCGAATAAACGGTTGACCTTACGATTCACCTCAAAGAAAAGGTAGCTTCGTATGTGTCTATCCGCGTATAGTGTGGGCGAAAGGTATAGGTTGGCGCGCGGTGCACAGATGTCGTTGAGAATCCAGCATCATATGAAATATTTGAGCTCAGCATGCCTATGGTTTATCAGTTTGATGAATTGTTTGTTCCAAAGGGGTGAAGTAACGAGCCTGTACTTCCAGCCCATACGTTGGAGTAGGCTCGAATATGGCTCCTAGGAGCTTCTAAACATGATGCCATGGCATCGATATTAGCAGGGGATCTCCCCAGTTCTAATTTCGCGTAGTTGAGATGAATGAGAAGCTTCTTGTAATAACTGGCGATTGGGGTAGCAACGGCTGGATGTAAAAAGACCTTGTTGAGCTGACCCGCCACCCAACCAATTATCTTAGTTGTCATATTCATTTTCGCTGATTCCAGGAAGAAGAACACCTTACGGCGGTCAGCTTGTGCGACGCATGCACTGGATACGTTTCGGAATAAACGGCGCGCTGCAATATATCCATACTAAATTTAAATATGGCTTGATTCTATCTAGGGCGGGTGCGTAGGAGTTTCTCTGTAGGGATTAAGGGAGAAGCTCACCATGACGAAAGAGTGATATGGATCCCAGAGAATCTGTCACATTTTTTCTGGGGGTCGCCGTATACTACTCAGCTGGACATATTGAGGCGTGTTGGAGGAAGTTCCCTTGTTCCACGAGACATGGCAAACACAAACAATGTACGGAATCCGCTGAAGAATAGCTTGGTTGTGATTTTTCCTGTAGGTTTGCCAGAGGACACCGGCTCTAGCTTGGAGATGAGCTGGGAGACCTGACTTCGGATTTCATGAAAAATTTGTAGCTAGCAAAGTTAAGCGTTGAGACAACAGGCTTGCTCAGTATGAGGGAGCTGGCGGCGTTGGATTGGGGATTACATGCTTAGCTATTCCGGTAAATAAAAAATCTCCGACGTTCAGGTGTATAGGGATTTTAACAACACAAGTGCGAAGGGGTTACCGACAAAAAAAGAGAAAAGTCCACTATGGATCGAAAAACAACAACAGCCAGGCTTGAAGAATTAAAAGGTATTGAGGCGGAGTAAGGGGCTGAAAGGATCCCAAAGAACAGAATTTGAGGGTAGCCAGCACTCAAAACACAACTAAGGAGCGTTGGGCTCAGATTTTGCCGGGTAAAACCTATACAATTCATGTTAGATTGCTCTGTTATCTCATATTTACTAGGGCTATTAAAATTATCGTCATCTCAAGGAGGGAGGAATCTTTTTTTTTTTTTTTTTAAAAAAAAAAAAAAAATAACAGGTTAGGAGAGGGAAGGAAAGAATGAAATAAGCTTACCAAGCCGCGACCGAGATAATGAGGAAGAGAATCATCAACAACACACCTTCTAGCCAATTTGACTTGCCATCTTGGATTAAGTAGTTTACCTGTTGTGGAGTAAAGCAAGTTTGTCAAACACGAACAGGAATGCAAGCAACGGATTTGGGAAGAAGGTAAACTTACTAGCAGCACGGAAACGAACAGTACTGCAATTTGAAACCCATCAAAGTATAATGTCTATTCACAGTATTAGATAGCGAAACGCTTACAATAAGCGTGAAAGGGGAAAGAGAATTTGGGGCACGTACCATCTCATCGATGCCTGGGGTTGCCGAAACGAGATAGAAATCAGCAAACAACAAACATACGTTTATAGTGGCTAGGAATTCGGGTTGAGAAGTGTGGCAGGGTCGACAAGCCAACATACCAGCAATCCACCCAATAACTACGATGAGGGGAACCACCAAAAGAGCAATTTGCATGCTTGACCCAACAGCAACCCCAATGGAGAGATCCATTTTATCCTTAATCGCAACGGTGATGGCCGTAGCATGTTCAGCTGCGTTGCCAACAATTGGAATGAGAATTAATCCCACGAACGTTTCTGAGATGTGACCACGAGTGGTAATTGCATCGATTGAGCCGACCTTCACAATGTAAGGTCAGTTACCTAATCCGTCATGCTCAACCAGGCCGGGCGCTTTAAAGTTATAGAAAGACAAGGAACGTACCATGGCCTCGGCACAGAGGGCCACCAATGCTGTCGATGCAGCAAGTGTAAATAAGGCAACCCAGATAGTTAGTTGCGGTTCTTCCTTGTCATCTGGGATGACCATGGAAACGCGTTGAGCGTTATCTCCGAACATTGTGGCAGAGATGCCTGCCCCAATCTGTGCAATGCCTATGGTAGCGTCACCAGTTCCGACTCGCCCACGTCTTTTCTCGACTTTCTCACTCGGCTTATTGTACATTTCCATGTGAGATTTAAGTTGAAAAAAGAGATAGCATGCATACACGACAAGTAGAATCACGCTCGTTCCTAGAGATATGTTAGGGTACAGGAATAAAAAGTCTTTTATGTTCTTTTGGATTTAGAGTGATAGGTACCTCGCGAAAGAGGTGCAATTCCGGCTTCACCAGCTATATAGAACAGCAAATTAGCGTATATTAGCACGATGCACGATGAAGAACGCACCGTTTGACCATGCGTGAAACGCTGTCGGGATTATAAGACTTCCGACGGCCAAGGTGAGCAGACTGGACGCTGTCTGCGCCACAGTGACGTTGAAATTTTGTTCAAGTCGATTTATACCTCCAAGGAAAAAGGCCATTCCCAAAACCAGTAGCAGGTTTGATAATATACTGCCGATAAGGGACGTTTGCACGATGACGATTTCACGTTTAAACAAGGCCAGGAGCGACACAATGAGTTCCACAGCATTCCTATAACTGGTTTAGTAGACGTGCTAGGGGGTAGGACGCTAGCATTACCTACCCGAATGTTGCGTTGAGCAAACCGCCCACAGTTTCCCCCGTCCTAGAGACAAAGTTAAAGTTGTTCTGGTGATGTTAAGAATAGAGTAATACCTGAGAGCAATTTCCTCCGTAGCATAACTTAGCATCGCGGCAAGAGGGCTAGAAGTATTGTTAATGGAAATAGTTGGGCTGTTTCCTAAAGGAGAAGACGTACATAATGGCAATGAAATTGATAACAAAGATTGCAATGGGGTCAATATGCGCATGGTGAATCGCGACTATAGATGGAGTTAGCAAGTTTTCATGCATGATAATTCCGGGTAAATTCATAGAAGCCTACTCCCGACGGGGACCATGACAAGCAAGACGTTAATCCAAGAATTTAGCAGGGTGGCCTTTAATTGTTCGACAGCCGTAAATGCTTGTTTATCTTTTCCAGAATCCTCAGGCTCTTGTGGTATCATACTAGCCGAGGCATGGTTTCCGCCGCTTTTGAAGAATCTCCGTTTATTAGAAGCCCCCGTTCCTAGAAATTCATGCTGTTGTTCTTCTTTCGACGTCGTCAGAGGTGCAGCATTAGTCATAGATCCTGCTCGTGTCATTTCAATAACGTCACCAACAGATTTTCTTGATGCTGGAGGGTTGGTATGTGCATGGCGGGGTGCAGAGAAGATGCTACCCATCTCTTCTCGCCGGTCCCTCTCAGATCTCGATACAGTATTGCTTTCTGTCTGTGCACGTGGTAACCCATCTTCTGCACGAGATTCAGTTGAGCGCATAGAGCGGTATCGGAATTTTTTGAAAGGGTTGTGGTAGGACGTTGCTTCTCCATCATCATCATACCAGGCCAGATTCCTGGCTTGACGTCGGTGTATATCTTTCTCCACCAATAGAATAAGTGTCAATCCACAATAAAGAAACCGCCCATCGGAGATCAGAAGCTGAAGTTACGCACGCATTGTTGGAACTTGGTGGGTTATGCAAATAAGTACTTAGGTACTTGGGTATCTATGGGAGGTCCAGGTCCCGTGTTGGAGACACCTAAAGGCGTATATAAGTGTATCTGCAAAATTTCTCTACCAAAAACACGAATATGGCCCCGGCAGTTTATGAGGAAAGAATTGTATTTGTGGCACAACGAGGGTGAGAAAAAGTGTGTTTTAAGTCAGTGAAGAAAGGGGAATGTGAGTGTTTGTTGTTGGGTGGAATCCCCCTGGAGACTCTCAGCCCTAAATCCTGAAATGCCCCAAGGTACGTCAAGGCGCTGGGTTCCTGCAGGTGAATGAGTTATATCAAACAAGCCCTGTTAAATCCGACCAAAAGAAGGGCCGGATGAGGATTCAAAACAAGCACAGGCCATGTAAAGAGAGAATATTGTGGAAATGGAAAATGAAAAACTGGACGGTTCTAGCCATTCGATGCAGCCCAAAGGCTAGTGCAAAGCGGGATACATGTAGTCAATTAGTTAGTTACCATCTTTCATGATGGAAGACGATCGTCGGGGGCGCCCTGTAAAAGCTCATTTTAAGGCTACTGTCAATTTTTCAAATTAATGCCAGTGTTATGATGAACAACGCGCCTGTTTCCATCGCTGCTGTTGGGGTTCCAGTACATTTGGTTTGGCTATTGCTAGACCTCTCTGTGCACAGTGTTCTGAAAATGTAATTCACATATGCGTGCGATATGATGGTATAGTTCCCCATTAGATCCCGCAGCAGATAGATGCCTGAAATGATTTCTGTCGGGAGGCATGACGACTATCATGGTGTGCTGGATAATTCCTGCAGGCTCAGCACGGAAATTGACAACGTACCACCGTTCCTCCTTGCCAATTTACTGAGCCAACGGGGAATACATCCCTTACGAGCGACGTTTCGACGTTTGAAGCTGCGTCTGCAAACTCCAGGTGGAAGTCAGGATAACTAATGGTTAACCCAATCGCCATTTGTCCATCAGGCTATTTTGAGCCACGCCAACGAAAGCTTGTTTGAAATGGCTGGATCATGCGGCCTGACGTGTTTGTGACTTCTAATCAACAATTCCTTTTATCATTGGCGCCCTTTCGGATAACTAACGTTGGGAAAATGGGTCGAAATCGGACAGCGGGCAAAAATGCTCTACTGCCGGCTCGTGAGAGTGTGAAGAACAGGCTTGGTCATCTACCCGCCTTGGGAGATTAACCAGGCCAATATTCTGGCTTTGAGTAAGTGCCAATCATTGGTCCGCAATATAGTTGACGGTAACAAATAGGCTGGGTATTCCTAAAAGACTTGCGTCAAGCCCCTAGTTGACTGTCTGTCCTCCAGAACTTAGTTGGTTGTCGGGAGCAGCGAATATGTCACGTGTACAATATATTCTGTAGGCTACTGGGGCTTATCTCAGCGGGCTCAGACCTCTGGCTCGGTTTGAACGGGTTGCAGCATTATTATTAACTAGTTAATCCGGCATGACACTAACCTACTTTTGATACAAGTCATGTGCTCAGAGCAATCCTCACCAGGGTCTGAGAAGAAATGGTTCCATCTTCAATGGAGATTCCTGAGATTTATAAGGATTTTTCAGATTCTTTAACTTTGACTTTCTATTACTATATACTCACATATCTTTGAGATTTGAAAATCACCTTAGCTTATAGCTAAAGAGAAGAAGAATAGAAATATTTCTTTAATATTTCAAAAAAATCTATATTTAAGATAGATGTATACTCTTGAAAATGATTATATTTTTTAATCTTAGAATTTCTAAGAGCTTTTTTTTATATAAGAAATTGAATTAAAATTCCTGTATTTAAAAACACACTGATTAACTTTGAGATGATACTTCTATTCTAAGAACTTGAGATATGAATATAAAAATCAGATACATTGTGAGAATATTATTATTCTAAGGTTTCAAGATAATACAGAAATAATGAATCTGTCAGGTCACGTGATCTGGCTTACTAATCCTTCCACCATATAACTTTCCACAAGCTAGCAACCTTTCAATCACACAAGCTTTACACCTTCCACAGGTTATGAGACCCGTTTTGCGCAAAAATCGCTGCCAATTCGGGATTCCTTGTCAATATAATCTATTTGAACTACTGCTTCATTCGATACGCCCATCAGGAGTTAAAATCGTCTTATTCTATCAGTATTGATGCGTTTGAGATCTTGATGATCAATAATACTACTGCTCGCTTAAAAAAGAGGCTTGCAGAAAACGCACCACATTTGCAAAAAAGCAAGAAAAACAGAACGATATTGGCAAGGATCCAATAAACGAATATTGAGAATCCAATAAACGAATATCAAGATGGCAGATTCAATACGATCTCGCCCACACACACGTTCGCGATCTCGCGTCCTTTCCACTGGGTCAGTTGCAGTTGATGATGATGATTCTTCACACTCACGCTCTGCCAGTGGACATCCTCCTGGAGCCTTTGAAAGCTCCATTGTCGAAACACCCTCTCGATTCGAAGCTGGTTTGAATACAGCTCCTGACACGGTCAGGCCGGCCCCCCGATCTACTCGACAGCTTGATGCTGGTTCTCTTGATGAGAATAATGGACACCCAGGTGTCTACCGTTCGGGCGAGGCAATATCAGACCAACAGATGGAGCATCTCAAGATGATACTTGAGATGGACAAGGGGAAGCAAAGAGTCCTAGAACTCGAACTACAACTGGAAAAACTCCGTCAACAGAGATCCTCATCCTCTACAGATCGACCACAGGATGTCAACAATCATCCTGCCACCATATCAACAGCCCGTACAGCCACATGGAATCCTAATCTCGGTGAAAGGTTGGAATTCAACCTTTATGAACCGGATAGCCGTGTTGGCAAAGCAATCTCCCAATTCAAGGAAGATGTCAAGAATACTATGAGACCAAACAGTCTAACTGGCACATCCAATTACACCACATGGAGCATCTTCATGAAATCGAAACTGGTTGATGCACAGTGTTGGTATATGATAGAGAAACGACAGACCCAGAACCCTCTACAAAGAGATGATGAATGGGCACCATTCTGGGACGCCAGAAACCGGTGGCTCTACACATTCATCTCGAACTCCTTGGGTGCAGGTGTCAGACCATGTTTCTCCAAGTATGATGAAAATCGGATTGCTTATACTCTATGGAATGCAATTGAAAAGGAATACTCTGTCCTCAAAACACAGTTACGCCGTGAGGCAGTTCTGGAATTCATGTCTCTTGGTGGCACACAGGTCACCAATCTACACACATTCTTTGATAAGTTCCGGTCCGCCATCACGAAATTGGAGATGTTGGATGCTTCCCCCTCAGATGCATGGATATTTGATACCTTCTACTCAGTTCTACCCAACAATTGGAGGAATTATGTTCAGAAGAAGATAGAGGAGATACAGGATTCCAAATCCACAGCTGTGGTATTGGATGTTGATCTTCTCATGGAGGAGATCCGTTCGCGGCTTGATCCTCCAAAAGATAAAAAGAATCTGCAGAATATAGATTCTGCGGCCAACACAGCTACAACAGCTACAACAGATACAATGACCACTACATCTACCAATTTGAACAACAATACATCGAATCCGGCCCGTGGAGGCCGTACTGGACGTGGTCGTGGCAGTTTACAAGGGGGCTCTCGAAACCATCGGGGATCGGGAAATCCACCTACATGTCCTGAATGTGAGAGATCTCACTTTGGCAACTGTTGGTTGGCCAATCCAGACAGTGCTCCAGATAATTGGAGGATCTACAACGCTGCGAGGATAAAGGAATTCAAAGAAAAGAAGGAGAACAATAGTGGGGGTGGGACCCAACTATCCATTACAGATGGTTCAGAGACCTTTCAGATGGCAAACCTCGCAGAGGTTATCAATGTGCCAGCCTGTTTTGTGGAACTCCACAAGGATCCCTCCAACGGGCGTTTATACATATCAAAAGACGTCATCTTCCAGGAGGACCTCCATCTTGCCGATCCATCGATACCGACTACTCCACACAACCCGAAGGTCCTACCCAATGCGGCCCGTAAAGCGGCTGCGGCGATTCCTTCGGCGACACCAGGCCTACCGACTGCGGCCCGTAAAGAGACTGCAGCGATTCCTGATCCATCAATTGATAATCTATTCATTGATGAGGAAATTCGACCTGAGTGTCCATTATTTCTCGTACCCACTAATAATTGGTGGATTGACTATGATATCTCCGCGAGAATACCTACCCTTTTAGTGCAGAATACACTGAACTCCCCGGAACCCACAGTTGAATCTGATGACCCTCCGACATCTACAAGGGATATCACTATAGTGGGGGAATCAACAGTGGGGGAATCTTCAGTGGGGGACAGTCTTGAAGACCTACCCACCGATCCCGAGATCGCTGCACTCCCGATCCCGAAAAACCTCACGCGCGCCAAAGCTTCCATGGAATGGAAGTATTATTACAAGGCCCGTGTTAAAGAGGTCAACCGTTTGAAATATACGCGTTGGAAAGAGAATATATAAAGAAGATAGGGGGATAGGGGGATAAAAAATGATGTATATCATGACTGGTTTTTCATTACTTCACATTTTCCAGTCATTTTTTGTACCTGTACTTGATTTGAAGGCGAATTTTGTATATAGCATCGTGTATAGTTACTCTGGTGAGTGGGGGTGTCAGGTCACGTGATCTGGCTTACTAATCCTTCCACCATATAACTTTCCACAAGCTAGCAACCTTTCAATCACACAAGCTTTACACCTTCCACAGAATCTATGAAGTTGAGTTAAAATTCTCTTTTATACTCAGAGTACTGAGTAAATTCTTTCTGTGTTATTAATAATCAGAAACTGTTTCTTCTCAGATACTTTATAAGATATTATCACTTACATAATCTGATTTTACTATTTGAGTTAGCTTATTGCTTATTTGAGGTTAGCTCATGACATAATCATTAATTCAGTATTAAAACAGCAATAAATATCTGAAGAAGCGTCT